CCCATGATGAAGTACATAAGAAATAACCTCATTCCTCTGTTCTTTGAAATGAGGAGGCATTTGTACTTTTCTTCTAAGGACCGAACAATTTAAAGAAAAAGGTAAGAACACACAACCAAGTTTGACTTCATTCAGTGGCATTTTATTCAATCTTTTTCCCACAGAAACTCAGTCTGGAATCCATCTGGGAACACACCTCCTAAATGAGCCTGTGCTTGATGGTTAGGCATAAGTACAAAGAGTGCAAATGCCAAACACAGCACAAGAAGGGGAACTCCGTCTCCAGAGAGGCCCCATCTTTGTGCCTCTAGGAATAAACTCCTCATTTTAAATCAGGTCGAACATTTTATCACCAGAAGTAATTTTGAAATTTCCCACTTAAAACAATTGTAGGGCCCTACGGAAACACTGAAAGTTAACTGGAACTTCACCAAGGACTTGCTAACATCATTAAGTTTTAGTTCAAAATATGTTCTGATAGCACAAACATGCTCTTGATGGCGCTGTGTACAGCAGCAGTTCATGGTGAAGTCAACTGGTGACAACGTTCTGAGTGTAGCACACATACAAAGATGCAATTTAAGACGAAGGGAAGCAGCAAGACTGGAACGGCACTTGCCAAAGTATACAGAAAAGATGTTATAATGGGATTATTAGACATGTCTAAATTGAAGACACACACGCCCAAACCTTTGCTATCATCTTCACTATCACCATTCACTAACAACAACTCCAATGCAGTCCTAGTTAATTCATGCCTTTCTGTATTCAGTTCTCCTCCACAATGCTCACCCATCGCTCAGGCACATTCAGTGACTACTACACATTAATCCTCAATTAGGTCCTATGGTACAAAGAAACAGTTTATGACTTAGAGGAACTGAAGTCTGGGTAAGAAAGTGAAAAGGGCAATGGATTGAGCCACTATCAGGCCTCCAATTACAGAAGCTCTACAAGGAGCGTATATTCTGAAAGAACCACAGGCCTTCCTCTTTGTGGGCTTCCACAGGGGGAAAAAAGACAGAGAACTAAATTCTCAGAAAAACCAAAAGGCTCTAAAGTCACAGGACTTTCAATCACATGCATGAAAATATTCTATGTCCTGCTTAACTCTAAAACTTGCTTCTAAAATCAGAAACCAGCCTCCACACACACACACACTCACACCTAGGTACTTCAAGCGACTGCAGCAAAGAACAGGGTACCAAACGCAATCAATATAACCCATCTGTAGACCAGTGGGCGACACAGACTAGAAACCAGTCCTCGGGAGAGGAATCTGCTGATCAGAATAGCAGTGACCAACAGGAAAAGAAGAGACAGAGGTACAGCGAATACTACTAATTTCTCTCCTGCTATGGAGCAAAAAGCCTTGGTCAACCTCAGAGTTAACTGAGAAAGACATTATGGAAATAGGGAATAAAGAATTTCATAAACTTGTTATATACCTTTATAACAACAACAAGAAACATATACAGGAGTCCAGGTAATTTAAGGAATATGTTACACAGCAAAACAGATTAGGGCCACATCTGTCTGAATTGAAATTCTGAACTCTCAACCACTGGGAATCTTGCCTTGAAGCTGTTTGTAAACTGAATTGATGTCACTTCAGAAATTAAATCATGGACTACTGTATAGTATTTTAACAAAATTTACCAACTTAACAGCTACATTAATCCTGGCTTTCCAGACTTCATAGAGCAGCTAGACAGAATTACTTGAATTTCTCACTTGCCTAAGAGCTTAGATTCTGAAGTAAGGCAGTTGTGTGATTGTGAGCAGGTGACTTGACATTCCTGAATCATAAAACGACGATTACAAGAGTTGCTATACCATGGGATTAGTGGCATCAACATAAAGCTGGAAGCAGCAGAGACCAAACGCAAAGGCAGGCACTCCAAATCGAGATGTGACGTCCACAGCAGAATCCTCCCTACCATGTCAAGTGCCCGCCACTCTGCTCTTCTAAAGGTGACTGGTTGAACATTGCAGGAGGATTATAAATGTTGTGTTTATTATACAGGATAACAACGAAAACACGGAACGCAGAGTAGGCACTAAGTAAACAGCAATGGAATTAACAAAAGTATTCAAGATGAATCTTAGCTAAGGAGAAAACCAGTACAAACGAAACTGAAAATTTCTAAGGTTATTAAAGTTTAACACATTTTTAAGAGCTTAGATTCTTCCTTACTAAGCTGTTGCACCAGCCGCAATAACAGTGTCAAGATTCATGTGAAGAATAAGGCTTAATCAAGGCAAAATAATTATGGCAATAAGATGATCAACTATTCATGGGATTGAAGGCCCATGTCAAGAGATTCAAATTAGGCAGACAGCATGAGGAGGTGGCAGTAAGAATATAAATATATTCACTATACAGAATAGCCTCAGATGAGATGCTTTCTCTTTTCAACCTGCTAATTTTCTAAAATGTTCTGGGTCATTCAAAAGCTGCAGCTCCACTCAGAGAAGAGCATATTTAGTCTACAGGGTATTTGCAACAGATTCAGATTAGTGACAGTTAGCTACAACTGCTTTTGATATGTGACTGAATAATTAAGACTGCTCATTAGAATAAAAAGCCACATTTTTTTTTGCAGTATCTTGTCAAAGAATATATTGCTTTGCCCAGATCTTTCTTATTATTTCACAGAGCAAATGAACTTATGATGTTCCCCAGATAATTTTACTTGGGTAGTGCAACCTCTTATGCATGTACCCTCTGAATGAGAAAAAGTTTATACAACAGTTGCCCCATACTATAAACAACTGACCAGCAAAGTGTGTATTAAAGAGTGCTGTGGGGTTGGTATTATTGCGTAGTGGGTTAAACTGCCACCTGTAATGCTGATATCTTATATGAGCACTGGCTGGAATCCTGGCTCCAGCTCCCTGCTAATACGCCTAGAAAATGACCAGAAGATATCCCAATTGCTTGGGCCCCTGCCACCCATGTGGGAGACCTAGGTGGAGTTCTAGGCTCTTGGTTAGCCCCAGCCTGGCCTGGCCCCAGCTACTGTGCCCATCTGCAGAGTAAACCAGTGGAAGTAAAATCTCTCTCTTTGATTCTCTCCCTCTCACTGTACCTCTTTCAAATAAATAAAATAAATCTCAGATAAAAACCAAAACTGCATAATAAGCTGGACATATGGCCAAGTGGTTAAGGCTGAATGCCCTGGATTCAAGTTCTGACCGTGCTCCTGATTCCAGCTACCTGCCAGTACATCCCCTGCAAAGCAGCAGGTTCGGGCTACAGTAGTTGACTCCCTGCCATTCACGTGGGTTCCTGGCCTCTGGCTTCAGCAAGACCCAGCCCTGCTGATAGAGCGCCTGGAAGTGAATCAACAGACTGGAGGGAGAGGCCCCTTCTCCCTCCCTCCTTTCTTCTCTGTTCCCCGACCCCTCTCAAATTAAAGCGAGCGCCAAACCAACATCTGGAATCAAAGCTTTGTGCAAAAATGTGTTGATGCTTACAGCCTGGTAGGACATGTAGACTGAGTTCTTCTAGAGGAGGAGGAAAAACCCGACCCTGAGGTCTCCAATTTCTTCCTTGTGCCCCTTCAAGTCACAGGAGTGGTGCCCTCTCAAACACCAAGCCCCTTCTGCCAGTGTGGTCGCGAACTCATTTGTTCTCTACGCACAGTCAGTTTCCCTCATAGAACCAGGCCACTTATCCACTTGCTTCTTTCAGGCCACAGAAAATTCGATGGGGATAGGGACTCAAACTTCTTCTTAGAATCAAAATATTCATAAGAATATACACAAATCCAGGCTTATAATAAGCAGTTAGGAAATATTTATTGACTGGATGAAGAGATAGAGCTGGGAAATTGTATCATCCCTTCTTGTTTGATAAGCAGAGAAAGTACAGGATTAATGCCTTCCGGTGTTCACTGAATGTCAAAGACGTTGTGCAAGATGCTAGATACTCCTGTAAAGCAGTATATTAAAAATTACACTGAAACTTGGGGCCCAGCGCCATGGCCTTGCGACTAAAAGTCCCCGCCTTCAATGTGCCAGGATCCCCTATGGGAACCAGTTCTAATCCCAGCAGCTCCACTTCCCATCCAGCTTCCTGCTTGTGGCCTGGGAAAGCAGTCAAGGATGGCCCAAAGCCTTGGGACCCTGCACCCCTGTGGGAGACCTGGAAGGGGTTCCTGGCTCCTGGCTTTGGATTGGCTCAGCACCGGCCGTTGTGGTCACTTGGGGAGTGAATCATCGGATGGAAGCTTATTCTGTCTCTCCTCCTCTGTATATCTGACTTTGTAATAAAAATAAGTAACTCTTTTAAAAAAATTACACTGAAATTTGATCACTGTTGCTAAACCTAAAAATACTAAGGGGCAAGAAAAGTGGAGAGATTGTGTGCAATCCGTCAGGGAAGGCATCCCAAGGGGCGATCTCTGGTTTGAACAGGGACAGATGAACGGCATGCACAAGAAATGAAAGGCAGGCTTGCAGGAAGCTGAAATCCAGGAAAGACATTGGTTGTGCGGACACCGAAGCTCGCAAGATGGGATGGATGCAGCTTGCACTGTGCTATGGAATCTGGAATAGGGCTTTATCTGCAGGGGAATGGAAGCCAGTGAAGTCTTTATGGCAGAGGGCTGACGTGATCAGCTCTACCAGCAAAAAAAAAAAAAAAAATCTGCAATTATCCTGGAGGAAATAAATGCACCCATTCATCAGGTCTGCAAAACTACGCGCACAGCAATGAAAGCCTCAGATTGGAAACAGTGACCTCAATGGCCATTTGCTTTACCGAATGGGAGAACAAGATCAATTAGGAAACACACATTTCCTTCCCCCTGGATACATCTGCCTTACTTCTCGGACAGAGAACCACCTGGGGGAATGAACTGCATTTTTCTCTGAAGTCTAATCTTTCAGTAAAATCATTCATACTGCCATAGACTCATAGTCATGTGTCAATAATTTAGTAAGGACAACAGAAACAGTTCAATAAGGAAATGAAGTTGCAGAACGTTTCATACCTGAGACACTCTGCCTGTTGGAATCTGAGTCCCCATTACTGGAGTTAGAATTGTTGGAGGAGTTGTTGTCAACCCCTCCCAGAAGGGGGCGCAAGTGGCTTACTGAGACTTGTTCAATGAATGAAGTTCCATACTTGCGAAAATACCACCATTCAAATATCTAGAAGAGAGAAACAGTAAATATATTCAGGGTCCTTGTTACTGTTAATCATTTCTGTAAAATCACCCATGAAATATGTTACATTTAATCATTCATTTCATGTTAAACATTGAAACAATTTTCATTTCCAAATAATTATATTAAAATTGTAATACAGTGAAAACGCGGTAACATTTAAAAGTTTCAATGTGATTTTCTATGCTCAGCACTAATTTAAAAAAAAAGATTCACAGTTATGAATAAAAGAACACCATTAAGATCAGTTCAATATTATTTTCCTCCAAGTTTGGATAATATTCAAACAAAATTGCCATAGCTGAATCATGACTGCAGAAGCATTTGTAAGCCAACTCTCAAAGTACAGCGTAGGGAACTTCCAGTCCTTGGAGCTTTACATTCTGAATAACCATACCTGCATAAAACTTTTAAAAAGCACATTTCCTGTTTTTCCTTTTTTTTTTCTTTTTCGAAAGAGCTCCTTAGAAAACAGTTTCACAGACAGAATGAGAGGCATCTCGTTGCATGTATAGTTGGCACCCAACTGCCAAGACTTCGCAACATCCTGCATGCTAAGCCGTGTCTCATCAACAGGAGCACCTGCTGTCCACCATGGATGCTCCCGACCCCAGACTTACCAAACTGTTACATAGTGCAGATTCCGGGCCAGAAAATAACATTTGTAATAACAGGAAGGAATAATGATGCTCCAATGATGAAACTGAGTCCAAGACAGCCTCAGCACCTCCCCCAAAACCAAGGGACCCCCACCAGTCCTTTTGCCACCAACCTTTTCCGTGAACCCCTCTGCCACTGTGGGCACTCCCCCACCACCGCTGCTCTGATGTGCTCACTCCCAGCCTTTCCTCCCCTCCCTGTCTGATGGAGGCTCATTCCTCCAGTACACAAACCACCTCACATGTGACTTTCAAACTCTCCAAACAGAGTTACAGTTCTAGAATATGAAGCAGAATGTACAATCAACATAGAATAAATTATCTTGACCCCTCTGACTTCATAGAAACAAAATTTCGTTATCTTCTCTAAAATGGATTTGGGGACATTATTTTAAAATAGTGGGTTTTTTCACCCTCTCTTTTGTTCTGTCAAAGACTTCTCAAAGCGCAGGAGAAACATTTGGGTAACCAGAAGGAAGTATCCGTCAAACCAAATGCTTCAAATCCTCTAATAAGACACCTTAACTCAACTTCAAAGTTATTCCTTCCGTTCACAGACATTCTCACATGATTAAAAAATGTTTTTCTGCACTGAGTAGGGACAATATAGTGTGAAAAAGAAGGGGTGCAGAGGGCTGATGTCAGTACAGTGGATTAAACTGCTGCCTGAGATCTCAGCACCCCACTTCTGAGTCAGTCCCCCGTAACAAGCCTGGGAAAGCAACAGAAGATGGTCCAAGTGCTTGGAGCCCTGCCACCCGCATGGGAGACCTGGATAAAGTCCCAAGCTCCTGGCTTCATCCTGGTTTAGCCTTGACCATTCTGGCCCTTTTAGAGTGAACTAGCAAATCTCTCTCTAATTCTGTCTTTCAACTCAGCAGATCTTAAAGGGGAGGGGTGTAGCACTATTATGTAGCATTCTAATAACTGGAATAAGAGACTATGTATGAGAAAATGGAAGAGCAAGAACTCATAGATCTTGTACCCAGAAGTGAGCCTATAATAGCAAATGTTTTATTTGATCCTTGAACATCCAACTGCTAGGTGGAAATCAGGGGTCCTTAATTTTTCTTGCAACACCATTTAACACTGCTAGTTTAGCTGACACTATGTAGTTTTTGAATTAATGGCAAAACTTACATTCTGTTAGGGTGCAGATGTCTCCCAAGGGCAATGTAACTCATAGTGCTATGAGACGGTCTACAGTTCAGATTAGCACAGTATCTTCTCTGTTACCGGCAGTGGCTGTTAACTACCAGCGGGGCAGGGAGATCTTCACTCCAACTCTTTGCTTTCCACACTGTGCCACTGCCAGGCCTCAGTTCATTCATTGCTTCACACAGCAGCACTAAGTGTTCTACACGAGCCACAGATTGTGCTCCAGGCTCACAAAGATTTGGCCTCCACTACTGCAAGGTTATGCCCCAGTCCTAGCTACTGCGGCCGTTTGAATACTGAACCCAGTAGACAAAGGATCTCCAAATATTTTTCAAAAAGACTTTTTCTTGTAATTTCCTTGCTTCATGTAAAGAAACCCAAAAAAAGTCTATCATTTTGCTTTTCAAATCCTGAGTGTCCTCTGGCACTTTCCCCGTGAGCTTTCCTAACCATAAAGACTTATCCAGAAGTAGTCCATCAAATGTAAGCAGACAACTCATCCTAGGGCATGACTCACATTAACTAGACACTTATAACAGAATGGGCCTTCCATCCAATATTCTTTTATTTCTAAAATTTATTTAAAGGAAGAATGACAGAGAGCGAGAGTGAGAAATTTTTAATCTGTTGGTTCATTCCTCAAGTTCCTGCAACAGCCAGAACTAGAGTGTGCACTGCAATGCCTCCCACCCATTAGTGTTTCTGATGTGGAGGGGCAGGCCACAGTAAAGAGCAGGTTATTTGTATAGCTGTCTGATGGGGAAAAGGAGGGTCTTCAAGGACCATCCAACGGCAGCAGTATCAGTCCTCGTGGCACATGGGGAACACTCTAAAGGAAGGCCCAACTCTTAAAAAACAAAACAGATTTTGAAAAGCCAAACACCTTAGAAACAACTAACTAGGGGAGGGAGAGAAGAACGTGAAATCTGAAACTTCAAACCAAGGCTTTTCATTCCAGGGCTCAGGATGACAGTCGTTCTCTTACTCTGAAATATGTCAGGCTGTGGGCAAGCACCGAGCAGTATTTTTAAAAAGCTGCCCGGATCCAAATGGGCAGATGGTGTTACCTAATGCGCACATATTTGGTGTCACTTTGAATCCTTTTCCCTGGTGCACACCTATAATGTAAACAGGAAAGCTCTCATAAGCAAATTCGGATTTTAGAAGTAGTTTTTGGACATGCTTGTAGCTTAGTGGGCCTGCCTCAAAGAAATAAAACAGTTTTTAATCTAAGAGAGAACCAGAAAAATTAAGATATAAATTTGCATGTCATGTTATTAAAAACGTTCTCTCTAGTGCTTTTTCCCATCCACGTCTCTGCTTGTGGCCTGGGAAAACAGTGGAAGACGGCCCAAAGCCTTGGGACCCTGCACCCATGTGGGAGTCCCAGAAGAAGCTTCTGGCTCCTGACTTCAGATTGGCCCAACTCCAGCCATTGCAGCCATACGAGGAGTGAGCCAACAGATGGAAGATCTTTGTTTCTTCTCTATAAATTTGCCTTTAAAATGAAACTGAATATATATTTTTAAAAAATAAAAGCTCTATCTAGCAAAAGCTGTTTCCAATGGCTCATTATCCCCTGTATTACTCTTCCCAGAAGCAGAAAGGATGACCAAGGGGCACGGAGGAGGAGGGCTGGAGGAGAGATCCAGCTTGGTAGGTGGTCTAAGGTGCAAACTTGTGTCATCTTCCTATTCAGGAAGAGAATGCAATGCTGGCAAATGGATCACAAACAAAACCTTTCTACAAATCTTGCTGACCCAAATCTTTCCTAAAGATGCTTATTTCTCCAATAAAACATCTCCAGTCGGCGACTACCCCATATCCTGTTTTACAGTCAAACGTGCTTCAAGATACCCACTTGGCAAAATCCTAGTAACTCTACTACCAATTGCATCAAACCCGCAAGTAACACACAGATAGCAGATCTCAAAAATTGACTAAGTGCTTCCTAAGAAAGCAGATCATAATATTACAGAAGAAAGCATATAACTGACTTGTAGAGTTTTAAAGGGAAATATGAAATTATCGGGAAATGTATGTCCAGCTGCAATGGCTAGGATAAACATCTGCCACAAGTGTTAAAACATATGTCTGGTGCTAAACCAGTCGTTGTTTGGATTTTTTGCCTATTTGTTTTGCAAAAGGCATAAAGCTGGGGTTCAAAGAGATAAACCAAGGCCATCGACATGTATTATAATGATCTCTGTAGCTTCTAGTTTCCTTTTGGGGTTCTTGGGTATATCCTTTTCTCTATAGCTTCTACCCTGAAGTTCCTAGTGATTTCTCACGACAAACGTAACATTTGTGTTTCAGTTTTTATGTGCTTTGTTTCAGACTATTGGTTAGCTAAGCTACCATGTGGGCTCTTGATCTCCTATTTGCTTGCCAGATCTCAACCAATGCCTTCTTAGCCAATGTCACGCCTACAGTTGTAGGGACTCTAGAAAGACTGTGTTCATGCCCTTCCATTTCCCTTCCTGGCCACCTGAGAAGCAGTGCGGAGCTCAAATTCTCTTCAAGGCCAACAGGCATCCATCCCCACTTGATGCTTATGTGTTCACAGAATGAGACTTGCCACTGTAGCCTCAATTAGTATGGCCTGCAACAGAGGACCACTCTCCTGGGTTGAAGTCATGAAGACTACTGAGAATTGGGCAAGGCCAGACTGAGTCATTTGTTCCCCATCCTGCCAGTTCACACTGTGGTAGCAGCTGTCCTCCAGGTGCTTCCTCTTGCGCTTCTAATTCAACTGGTCTGGAGTGATGCTTGGAATCCATCACTTTAAACAAAAAGCTCCCTGTGTTAATTGGACACTTTCAGTTCATTCATTCACTCAGTGCATCTTCTGTGCATTCACTAAATATTTACGCTGCCATTATAGCCACACGGCACACGGTAGTACAGATATGGTCCCTGCGATAAAGCTATTCTAGGAAGGGAGAAAATGATGAGCGATCACATAAGAAAATATTTTCAGTGTTGGTCCCTGATCCACATTGAGTAAATGGACACTGATCTGTGGCCAACTGGCATAAGAACATCTGTCTCTTTCAGAGAAGGTTGCGGTCTCCTCTGCTTCTCTCCTGTTTGTCTTCTTCCCTCTCCCTGTTTTCTTCTCTGTATAGCCCTTTTCTATGGGTTTGGTGAAATAAAAATACCATCAAC